GAAATGGTTGTGCCAGTTCATTTTCCCACCAATAATGTATGAGAATTCTTGTTTTCTAAATTATTTCCAATGCTTGGTATTGTCAGACCTCTTAATTTTTGCTGTCTGATTGATGTGAAGTGGTTAATATGTATTGCAGTTCACTTCTCTTTGCTTGATTTGCATTTCATCTGGTGTTATCTTTTATAGGGTACAAGTTTCGTATTTTAATGTCCAAAATATAGTCTTGTTTGTTTTTTTTAAAGGTTTTATTTATTTATTCATGAGAGACACAGAGGCAGCGCTAAACCGCTGAGCCACCCGGGCTGCCATCTTTTATGTCTTGTTTTACAAAATCTTTTCCTACTCAAGAACCAGAAAATTAATCCCTTACATATTGCCTTCTAAAATTATATAGCCTTGCTTTATACAATTAGGTCTTACGACCACAGATTGCCTCTTATATGTGGTGTGAGATAGATACTGAACTTGATTGTTTTTTCAAATGATTAGCCAATTATCATAGCATCAGGTTGTTGTTGTTGTTGTTTAGCATTAGTTTTTTTTAAAAGCTCATTTATTTAAGCAATCTCTATACCCGGTGTTGGACCTGAACTCACAACCCCATCGTCAAGAACCATATACTCCACCAACTGAGCCAGCTAGGCGCCCCTGACAGCACCTTTTTTTAATAGAGTATCTCTTTCCCTACTGACTTTTTTTTTTTAAGGTTTTATTTATTTATTTGAGAGAGAGAGAGCGACCGAGAGGATGATCAAGGGGAATAGGGAGAGAAGCAGGCTCTGCACTGAGCAGAGAGCCTGATGCAGGGCTTGATCGCAGGACCCCAGGATCATGACCTGAGCCAAAGGCAGATGCCTTACCAACCGAGCTACCCAGGTGCCCCTTCCCAATACCGACTTTTAATGCCACTTTTGTTATATATTATATCTTTCTTAGGTGAGTCTGTTTCGGGGCTCCCTTGTCTGTTTCATTGGTTTGTTTATTTGTCCCTGAATTTATCATCTTAATTACTAGCATTTTATAATGAGTTTTGATTTTTGATATAGTGCTTCCTTAACTTTTTTTTGTCTCTTAAAAATTATTTTTGCCGGGATCCTTGGGTGGCGCAGCGGTTTAGCGCCTGCCTTTGGCCCAGGGCGCGATCCTGGAGACCCGGGATCGAATCCCACGTCGGGCTCCCGGTGCATGGAGCCTGCTTCTCCCTCTGCCTCTCTCTCTCTCTCTCTCTCTCTCTCTCTCTCTCTCTCTCTGTGACTATCATAAATAAATAAAAAATTAAAAAAAAATTATTTTTGCCAATTTTTCACCCTGTTTTATTTCATGTAAATATTACTGTTGGCTTATCACATTTAAAAAAAACAAACAAACAGCTACTCTGCTTTTGGAGTGCCTGGCTGACTTAATTGGTGGGGAATGTGATTCTTGATATCAGGGTTGTAAGTTCAAGCCCCACTTTGGAGGAAGAGATTACTTAAAACAAAGCAGGGGTACCTTGTCACATGCTCTTCCAGCTGAGCCAGCCAAGTACTCCTATATCTTGATTTTTTAACATTATCCATAATTCTCATGAATGAAAGTTTAGGTCTTTTACACATCATTTGACTAAGAGTATAGAATTCTGGGGTATATTTTCTTCCCAACAGATTTTTAAAGATTTTAAGGATTTTGTTCCATTGTTTTATGTTGCTATGAGAATATGCCTGATGATTCTCTTCCTTTCTCTCCTTGTCCCAGTCCTGTGACTTTTTTCTTCTTTTCCCCCATTTTTCTTATTTTGAAAGCTTCAAGCCTACAGAAAAATTGTACAAATGGTATGATGAAAACCTCTGTATATTCCTTGTCTAGTTCACCAGTTGTGAATATTTTACCACATTTGCTTTAGGTTTTTCACAACATTTAAATTTTTTCCTTTGGCTGAACAATTTGAGAGTAAATTATAGACACTGTGAGATTTTACTCCTCAATACTTCAGTAGGTGTCTCCTGAGAATAAGGACATTATCCTACATAATCTCAACATCGTTCCCACAATTTAAATTTAATACTGATGTATACTAGTATCTAATATACAGTCTATATTCAGATTACTCTGGTTGTCTAGATAATGTCCATTGTAGATGTTTTGGTTTTTGCTTTTTAATTCAGACTACAAGAATCGCACATTGCATTTAGTAAATGCGTTTCTTGCTCCTTAATGAGTTCAAAGCTCCTTCTGGAAGTTTTAGCTTTTTTTTTTTTTTTTTTTTTAATCCATGATGTCCTTAAATTCCATAACAATGTGCCTTTTTTAATAAAAGATTTATTTATTTATTATTTATTTATTTATGATAGACCTAGAGAGAGAGAGGCAGAGACACAGGAGGAGGGAGAAGCAGGCTCCATGCCATGAGCCCGATGCAGGACTCGATCCCAGGACTCCAGGATCATGCCCTGGGCCAAATTTGGGCAGGCGCTAAACCGCTGAGCGACCCAGGGATCCCCAACAATGTGCCTTGATATAGGTCTTTTTTTCATTCATTGTTGGAGGTGTAGAGTCTTCCAATCTGGAAACCAGTGTCCTTTGGTTCTACAGACTTGCTAATTTATTTCTCTGCTGATTTCCTTCCTGCTTTTTCTGTTCTTTCTCTGGAAGTTTCACCAGTAGATGTTGTATTGCTTGGGTTGATTTTCAAAGGCTTACGTATGGTTATTTATGACCTCTTTGTTTTCTATCTACTTGTTTTAGTATTATATTTATTTTCTGTCTCATTTTTAGTTATTCTAATAGCTGTTCCTTGCTGTCTAATTGCTAGGTTTTCATTGCTTTCTGGTTTTGTTTTATGAATATATCACTAATTTCTCTGAGAATAAGAGCTTTCTTTTAATACTTTCTTTAGTTTTGATTTATTATTTCTTCTTATTATTTCTTCTGAGTTAACCTTTCAGTTTGAAGTCAGGTTCATATTGAGTATGTTTGCTTTTTTTTAACGTTGGTTCTTTTCCTATAGACTCACATTTAAGTGGCAGGCAGTCAAAAGCCATTTGGAGAGCCTGCGTGTACAGATAGGACCTATTTTCTGGTAGCCTTTACTTAAAAGCAATTGTAGAGTGACGGACCAGCTGTTTGGCTAGGGAACCTCCAGATGTGGTTATGTAGAGGTGTTTTTTTGTTTTTTTTTTTCTTGGATTGTTTGGTTTTCCCAAGGAAGAGTCTTCCAGTCTCTCCTTTGGGACTTTACAGTCAAACTCTGGTGGCTGGGGATAGGGAGCCAATTTTATTTATTTATTTTTGAGCTTTCCTTAGTTATCATTCCTTATCCATTTGCTTCCCTCACCTGTTATACGTGGGTTTCCAGAGTTGCATTTGTCTCTCATTCCCAGTGTCCTGTTGCTTGGCTGGGCAGCCCACTGCTGTCCGGGATCTAACCACTCAACTTAAGGACCTTTAACCAGCTGCCTTTGGTCAGCCTGTCCTTCTACCCTATCTATTTACTACTGAACCTAAGATTCAAGTGCTGAGCCTCTCAGGGTTACGAAGATACCAGCCTGCTTACCATTAGCATCCTGTATTCAGGCCTGATGTAGGCATTGAAGCTTATAGTCTCCTCTGCCTTGTTACGTCTTTATTGAGATCTCTATTGTGCTTACCTCTTGATTTATCTCTGCCTCATTGTTAATTTAGTGGGATCTTGGGATAAAAAGAAAATACTTTGAATCTGTCTTTATTTTTATTTATTTTTATTTTTTTTATTTATTTATGATAGTCACACAGAATGAGAGAGAGAGGCAGAGACATAGGCAGAGGGAGAAGCAGGCTCCATGCACCGGGAGCCTGACGTGGGATTCGATCCTTGGTCTCCAGGATCGTGCCCTGGGCCAAAGGCAGGCGCTAAACCGCTGCACCACCCAGGGATCCCTGTCTTTTTTTTTTTTTTTAAGATTTTATTTATTTATTCATGAGAGAGATAGAGAGAGAGAGGCAGAGACACAGGCAGAGGGAGAAGCAGGCTCCATGCAGGGAGCCCAACATGAGACTCGATCCCAGGTCTCCAGGATCAGGCCCTGGGCTGAAGACAAGCACTAAACCCCTGAGCCACCGGGCTGCCCTGAATCTGTCTTCTTTAATAAGAAGTCTCACATATATGTATTTTAAAATAAGTTACCTAATTATATTAGACTTAGAATTGTGCCTTTACTCTGTGGAACTAATTTATCAAAAAGAAGTATACAAGAAAGAATGTAAACTTTAATCTTTTAAAATACTGCTTACTTAAAAGGTCTTTTTTTTTTTAAGATTTTATTTATTCATAGAGACAGAGAGAGAGAGAGAGAGAGAGAGAGAGGCAGAGACACAGGCAGAGGGAGAAGCAGGCTCCAAGCAGAGAGCCTGACGTGGGACTCGATCTAGGGTCTCCAGGATCACGCCCTGGGCTGCAGGCGGCGCTAAACTCTGCACCACTGGGGCTGCCCAAAAGGTCTTAATTGATACTAGTTTTTGTCTTTATTTGGAAACAAATTCAAACTGAGAGAAAACCTGCAAGAACGATCATATTCCTTCTACCTAGGATCACAGTTGTTAACATTTTGCCATATTTGCTTTGTCACCTCCCATATATGTATGTTCACACGTGTGTTTTTTTTTTTTCTTGAAGCATTTGAGAGTAAGTTGTAGATGTTATGCCCCTTTACCCGTATCTTTTGGTATGTATTTCCTAAGAGCAAGGGTCTTCCATGTATAGTCACAGAACAAATCAAATAAAGAAATCAAATAGGCAATTCACATCCAAATTATAATTTTATAGCACTTTTTTTCCAGTCCAGGATCTAACCTAAGGTCATGCCTTACATTCATGGCTTACACTCTTTTTACCTCTTTAGTTGCCTTCAATCTGGAACAGTGTTAACCTATTTCAAGACCTTAGAATTTTTGAAGAGTACAGGCAGCTATTTTATAGACTGTCTCTGAGTTGACATTATAATGTTTAATTTTGTGGTACATTTCTTTGTTTTTCCTTGTAGCTCTTAGGAGAATATGAATCCCTTGGAAAAGAACATGAAAGAGTAAAGGTAATAATGATTCATGTTCTGAGCTTCATGGAGGGGCAGAAATACTGGGTTGGAAATGAAGAGGGCTGACCTGTGCTATTTATACCCCTCTGTTCTTCTCATCCTCCATCCCCATCCAGCTGCTTGAGTTAGATCACTCACTTCATCTTCTCTATCAGTATCTTTCTTTTCAAACATTTGCCCACTTAAGTCTTAAATTTTTGGATGTGTTAACAAATATTGAATGGCTATTTGAGATGAGTTGAGATGAAATTTTTGGAAGAGTATAAGGTATGATACTGATGCAAAAAATTACTAAATAATATTTAAATATAAAGTTTTTTTTAAGCATTTGCTTTTTGTGGGGTTCTTTGAGTTTATTATGTGTGATTTTTTTAATGAAAGTGTGGGAACTACATATTTGAATTCAGTGAAGCCCCACAGTAATGCTGTAGGTGGTGTCCAAAGTATTTCTGTTGTATAAAATTCAAGGTTGTGTTAAAAAAAAAAAAATTAAAGGTTGTGGTTGTTCACAGCATACAGGCCTGCACAGCTGGGCAAGTGGGTGGGCATGTGTGTATGCTGGGGTCTCAGGAGCCAATCAGCATATCTCACATCTCACTGGCCAGGTATCTGTTTTGCCATTTACTAAAGTTTTAGGCAAGTTGTGGCTAAAACATGTCCGTTTTAACACTGGATTGCTTGTAATCGAGCAAGGCATAATAGGCTGTACCTATTTGACAAGGATGTATGTATGGCTGTTTGTATAAATCAGTGTTTTGCTCTCATTTTTTTCCCCTTGAATTATGTATTCTCTCCCGTGGTTGATGCTATATTTGCTGAGTATCTGCATAATTTTCTGTGTAGCTCTCTGGTGTGCCCTTTTTTTTTTTTTTAAGATTTTATTTATTTATTAGAGACACAGGGGGGTGGGCAGAGACACAGGCAGAGGGAGAAGCAGGCTCCATGCGGGGAGCCTAACGTGGGACTTGATCCCAGGTCCCCAGGATCACACCCTGGGCTGAAGGTGGTGCTAAACCACTAATTCATGGGGGCTGCCCCTGGTGTGGCCTTTGATTTGTTTCATATTGTGTATTTTAAAAGAATACATCCTGAATATTTCAGTTATTAAGGTTTTTCCTTTATTTTCATAGGATACATTAAATACAACTGAGAACAAATTGCTTGATGCACATACTCAGATTTCTGACTTGAAAAGGTAAAATGTATTATCTTACTAATAAGGTAATTACGCCTCCTTTTAGCATTTAAGTATGTGTCCATACTGAACGCAATGAACAGAAAATTTTTCTTTAGGATTTTTAGGCACTTAGAGATCGTATTTTATGCTAACCTTCCCCTGACCTGGAAATACATTTGATTTTAGCCAAAGAAGATTTTTAAATGATTATTTTGGTGGTTGTATTGAGAAGTGTGCATTTCCTGAGATGTTCTGTTTTTTGTCAGCATAGCAAAATCTAAATGATACTAAACCATTGAAAATCCAAAAAAAAAAAAAAAAAAAGAATTTTAAGAAGCAGTCTAGTTCACCGAATTATATTTGTGCTCCCAAAAGAAAACAGCATTCACACCAACTTTATGATCATCTACTTTCTTAAAAACCTGGTTTGGGGACTATATTCATGATTTGATTTACGTAGATAAAAACAGAGTCATAAATGGTCCCTATGCAAATGGTTGAATACTTCTAATTGGCTTTAGAGCATGTTTCTGTATTTGTATTTGGAGATGTGTCCTTATTTGGAGATTTTATTGCACTCCTCAGGACTTCCCACTGGGGAGAGTGTGAACACTGGCCTTCTTATCTGCTCAGATCTTTTCTGTGATGCATTTTCTATGATAGCTTCCTTATGAGATTGGCATAAAGTGTCAGCCTGTTAGAGCTGTTCTCAAACCTTCCTTGCAGCAGGGTAGGCAAGAATTTGAGTTTAAAAGATGAGACAAAGACATATGCAAAGTCTAAAAAACAGAAAGAATGCCAGCTAACCTCAAAACAATTAATTGGCCAGAGTCTTAGTTTCTGTGGGTAAACTTGAAAATAGGCTTTTATTCTGTGCTTAGCACAGATGAGGTAAGCTGCCTCTAGATAGCAGTTCAGGATAGTTTAGCCTCTGTGTCTTAAAAATTAGGAAGTCTTTACTGGCTCTTATATTAAATATATATCTCCCTTTTTTGTGAAAACATTATCTACCATATTTAGAATTAAACATGGTAGAATTGCAGTTTATTTGAATACTTGTATTTATTTTTTTAAATTGAATTTATACCACATGTTTTGGTCTGTAGTCAGATTTGTACATTTTTTTTAAACTTGACTAGTCCATTTGTTGTTTCCTTTTCCTTCAGTTGTAGTATATGGAATGCTTCTTTGTAGAGTTTAATGTATTTGCCTTTCAGTATATGTTCCAATTTGTTCAGCTTTTTAACAATTATTGGGGCATTTTATTATGAAAGCAGGTTTACCAACCAGCAGTTCTTTTGTCACTCCTTTTCTAGAAGGGTCTGTTAGATAATTTGTAGTTAAGCTATTCTAAATTTATTGTGTACTTAATTTATCTCATTCCTCTTGAATTAGAATAATTTCAAAACTTGAAGCTCAGGTCAAGCAAGTGGAGCATGAAAATATGTTAAGTCTTCGCCATAATTCTAAAACTCCCCTGAGATCCTCACATGCCAAGTAAGTTATTTTGTTTAATCTCCATAAAGCTAGAAATAGGTGCACCCTTTTATTGTTTAAGTCATAAGGAAGTCAGAGTTAAGTGTCATTATAAAACTTATATATGTAAAAGCATCTAATTATGGGTCACCTGGCTGGCTCAGTCAGTGGAGCATGAGACTCTTGATCTTGGGGTGGTGAGTTAGAGCGCCACGAGGGATGTAGAGCTTACTTAAGAAAACAACAAAAAACCACCTAATTATTAGATATCATAAAAACTCTCATGCAGAAGCATTTGCCAAAAGGCGGAAATAGAATCAGATTCGGTGTAAAGAGACACGAAATGTTTTCTTTGTTGACTCTACCCAGCTGTGTGACCTTAGGCAAATCACTTAAGTTTTTTGGAGTTCAGTGTTCTTATCTGTAAAAACGAGGACATTGGGCTAGAATATCTCAGAAAGTCTTGTAACCCAAAAATTCCAGAAATAATATTCCTTTTTTTTTTTTTTAAGATTTTATTTATTTGAGAGAGAGAGAGAACATGAACAGGGAGAGAGGGAGAAGCAGGCTCCCTGCTGAGCAGGGATTCCCTACACAGGGCTTGATCCCAGGACCCTGGGTCATGACCTGAGTCAAAGGCAGTGACTTAACCTACCAAGCCGCCCAGGTGCCCCTATTCCTACGTTAATGAGCAGACCTATGAAGACAAATCTTCATTAGGTTGTATGGATTTTTCATTTTAGTTTTTTTAGTTACTCAAAATTAGCTTTGCTATAATCTCAGAGCATTATCTTGATACATTTATAGAGTAGGGTTTTTTGTATTAGTTTTTACTATGATTTTATAAAGTATATTAAATGAGTAGATCATAAAGTCATAATACTGATGTGTATCAGAAAGATTGTTAAATTGTAACCTTTCTAAGTCATAATTGTCAAATGAGAAACTTTCTCTAGATCTTTGTTCATTAACCTTAAGTTAGAACATAGTGAATTATTTAAAGAAAAAATTTCATAAGTTACTGAAATTGAACATTTGAGAGAGAACAAGAGTGGGATGAAATTGGGGTCAGGGAAGGCCTTTCTGTGGAGGTAACTTGTAAGCAAGGAGGTAAGCCCTGTGATGTGTTGGTGGGGAGAGGCATGAGGGAGGGAGATGTTCCAGGCAGAGAAATGAGCTTTATTATGTCCTTAAGTAGGAAAGGGCTTAACATGTTTAAAGAACCTGGAGGAAGCTTGTGTGACTGAATATTGCCAGCAAGGGGTAAAGTAGCTCCAGGTGAAATCATGGATGGTCATATATCACTTTCTAAGCCATAGTCAGGAGTTTGGATTTTACTCCTAAATCTTTTGGGAAACCTTTGAAAGGTTTTATGTGATAAGATTAGGTCATCTGATTTCTTTTTTTCTTTTTTCTTTCTTTTTATAGAGTGAGAGTGTGAACAGGATGGGAGGGACAGAAGGAGTGAGATAATCTTAGGCAGGCTCCATGCTCAGTGCAAAAGCCCAATGTGGGGCACAATCTTGTGACCCTGAGATAATGACCTGAGATGACATCAAGAGTTGGATGCTTACCTGGCTGAGCCATCCAGGCACCCCTGATTTCTATTTTTTTAATGCACCTGCCATGGGGAGGAGATGAAGAGGAAAAGGAGAAGCAGGCACACTAACTAGGCAATTGTAGTGTTAGGAGAGATGGTGTTTGCTGGGTGGTGGCCATAGAAATGGACAGATTAGAAGGGTCTGAAAGAGATTCCAGAGGTAGAATCTGCAGAACTTGGTTAAGAAGAGAAGAAAGGGGGCAGCTCAGTGGTTTAGCGCCACCTTCAACCCAGGGCGTGATCCTGGAGCCGGATGAGCCTGTTGGCTCCCTGCATGGCCTGTGTTCCCTCTGCCTGCCTCTCTCTCTTTCTCTCATGAATGAATAAATAAAATCTTAAAAAAAAAAAAAAAGAAGAGAAGAAAGGAAGGTGTCCCATAACATCTTGGTTTCTGTCTTGAGCAACTCAGGGTGCCGTATATTGAACTAGGGAAGAATTGAGAAGAGTAGACCATGGGATATAAAGATTAGAATTTCCATTTCAAATATTTTAGTTTGAGATTGATACGAATTCCAAGTGGGAATCAGGCAGGTGATTATAAATTTACATTTGGAGCTCAGAAATAAGGTCTTAGGCTAGAGTTAGAAATTTTAGAATTATCATTTTGTAGTGCTTGAGTGTGGGATATATGATAGGTGTATGGTGGATATATGATAGGTTGTGTGGGATGAAGCTCTGAAGAGCCCTGATGTCTTGATGTTGGGGGCAGAAGGATTAGGCACAGGAACCTGAGAAAGAGTTGCCAGGGTGCTAGGAGGAACCCTAATGGTGGCCAGTGGTGTGGATGCTGCTGAGAGCAGGTGAGGGGACTGGCGACCCTTACGTATGCCAGCTAGGGCTTGATGGCCTGGAGAGTGGTTTGCATGAAGGAGCAAATGTGAACATCCATTGAGACTGTTGTATAGAGTGAAAGCAACCTATATGTCTAACAGCTGGAACATTTAATCTATTGTGATACTGGGGATCCCTCGGTGGCTCAGTTTAGCGCCTGCCTTCCGCCCAGGGCATGATCCTGAACTCTCGGGATCGAGTCCCACATCCGGCTCCCGGTGCATGGAGCCTGCTTCTCCCTCTGCCTGTGTCTCTGCCTCTCTCTCTCTCTCTCTCTCTCTCTGACTATCATAAATAAAAAAATAAAAAGATATTATTTATCCATGAGAGACACAAAGAGAGAGAGGCAGAGACACAGGCAGAGGGAGAAGCAGGCTCCATGCACCGGGAGCCGGATGTGGGACTCGATCCCGAGAGTTCAGGATCATGCCCTGGGCGGAAGGCAGGCGCTAAACCGCTGTGCCACCCAGAGATCCCTTAAGATTATATTTATTTATTCATGAGAGACACAGAGCAAGAGCAAGTCAGAGACACAGGCAGAGGGAGAGGCAGGCTCCATGCAGGGAGCCTGATGCGGGACTCGATCTCAAAAGCAGGTGCTATACCGCTGAGCCACCCAGGGATCCCCCAATAAATAAAATCTTTAAAAAAAACTAATATATTGTGATATATTTATGAATGATGCTATATAGTGTGACAGTGCATACATTAGATCAGGAATTGATGAGCACAGCCCCCAACCCAAATCCAGCCTATTGCCTGTTTTTGTAGGGCCTATGAGCAAGGAATGGTTTTTGTATTTTTAAATGTTTGGGAAAAATCAGAGAATAGTATTTCATATATGTGAAAATTATATGAAGTTTAAATTTCAGTGTCCAAAAATAAAGTTTATTCATTTACCTATTAGCTGGCTGTTTTGCATAACAGCAAGTTTGAGTACTTGCAACAGAGAACCATCTGGCCTATAAAAACCTATTTATTAAAACAAAACAAAAAACCTATTTATTATCTGATGCTTTATGGGGAAAATTTGCCAGCCACTGAAGTTGATTGTTCACATGATTTAATCTTTCTTTTTAATATTTATTTATTTATTTTAGAGAGAGAAAAAGTGAACATGAGTGGGGGGCAAGATGGAGAGGGAGAGAGACTCTCAAGCAGACTCCATTCTGAATGTGGAGCCCAATGTGGGGCTTGGTCTCACAACCTGAGTTGAAGCCAAGAGTCAGATGCTTAACTGACTGTGTCAGCTCAGACACCCCAATGTGGTTTAAGCTTAAGAACATAATTTGGAACAACATGGGGTACCTGGGTGGCTCAGTCAGTTAAGCATTTGCCTTCTGCTCAGGTCATGATCTCAGGGTCCTGGGATTGAGTCCCATGTCGGGCTCCCTGCTCAGTGGAGAGTCTGCTTCTCCCCATTCCTCTGCCCTTTCCCCCTCTCACGTGTGGCGTGATCTCTCTCTCTCAAATAAATAAAAAAAAATTTTTTTTAAGATTTTATTTATTTATAATAGACATACAGAAAGTGAGAGGCAGAGACACAGGCAGAGGGAGAAGCAGGCTCCATGCCGGGAGCCCGACGTGGAACTCGATCCCGGGACTCCAGGATTGCACACTGGGCCAAAGGCTGGCGCCAAACCGCTGAGGTACCCAGGGATCCCCCATAAATTTTTTTTTTTTTTTTAAAAACAACTTGAAACAATAAAACCAGTTGTAGGAGAAGTAGGATACTATTTATATTGACTTTGGCATGCAGAACATATTGTATAGGTTCATACATAACAACATGTGTGGAATGCTGAATACAAATTTAGTGAAAGTGGTACCTTAGCACTTACACTAGGGTAATGATATCAGAGGAGTGATATTGGAGAGGTACACAGGGGACTTGAATTGTACCTGTAATATTCTGTTGTTTATTGAAATAAAGCAAATAGGGGATCTCTGCGTGGCTCAGCGGTTTAGCACCTGCCATCGGCCCAGGGTATGATCCTGGGGTCCTAGGATCAAGTCCCACATCGGGCTTCCTGCATGGAGCCTGCTTCTCCCTCTGCCTGTGTCTCTGCTTCTCTCTGTGTGTTTGTATCTCTCATGAATAAATCAATAAGATCATAAAAAAAAAAAAAAAAGAAAACAGAGCAAACAAAGTTGTATAAGCAGATGGTTGGTGCATGAATATGATCTGTATGTCTGCATGCTTGAAATATTTTATATATTAAATGAACAGGAACCAATAAGGGATTAGTATCTAGGATATAAAGAACTATAAATCAATAAGAAAAAGTCTCCTTAATAGAAAAATGATAAAATGAACAAACGATTCACAAAAAAAGAATTCTCTATATGGCTAATAGAATTGAAAGAATGTTCCTTTTACTAGTAATCAGAAAAATGAAAATTAAAACAAGCATGGGATACCACTCACACCCTCAGACAGGCCAGGCCAGACTCCAGCTCTAATCTTTGTACTGTGGGTAAATGACTAAAATGATACACCTGTTTGTGTTAATGTGGCGAAATCTGAAACATGTTGAATAGAAACAATAGCATTAAAAGGTTGTGTGTGTTATATGGACATAATTTAAAAAATACAAATGGCCATATGTACATAATCTTTTCTCTTACTATTGAAAACAAATCTGGTAAGATACTAGCATTTGTTAAAATTAAGTACTTGTGAGTGCTTGTAGTAGTCTTTGTAATTTTCTAAGAATGTTTGGGATGTTTCTTAATTAAAAATCGAGGGAAAAAGGGAGTGACTGGGAGTTGAAAATGAGGAAGGGAAGTTGTAAGAAGTTTGGCTGTGGAAGGGAGCAGAGAGAGGAAGACACCTGTTGTCTCCTGGTTTCTTTTTTCCCTCTCAAGTGTGATGTGAGGTATCAGCTGACCGGCAGGGCTGGGTGAGAGTTTGAGAGAGCAGAGAAGGTGTAAGGGAGTCCTGTTGGAGAAACGGAGTTGATTACAGAAAGGTATGTTGTCAGCCAGTGTTAGGTATCTATTGAGATGGTGATAGTGACTCTGTAATGTTAACACGGGCTACACGGTTGGGTGGCTCGCTTCCAGCAAAGCCCAAGTATAGGATTGTAGACATTCAGGAGTGAGACCACTGTGTTCCTCCAGGCTTAGGTCTCTGCTGCCGGATGGGTGTAATGGAAGGTGAGTGCCGGAAAGGGGGTCAAGGCAGTAAGTGTGCACCACAGAGTAGGTAGAGGGAACTGGTCAAGCTAGGAGAGGGATTGATATGTAGAAAATGGTGAGGCCAGGGGAGCCTGGGTGGCTCATTCTGTTAAGCATCTGCCTTTAGCTCAGGTCCTGAACTCTGGGTCCTGGGATCAAGCTCCACGTCAACCTGTTCAGTGGGGGTCTGCTTCTCCTTCTGCCTCACCCCCAACTCATGCTCTCTCTCCCTCACTCGCTCACTTTCTGTCTCAAAAAAATAAATAAAATCTTAAAAAGAAAAGAGAGAAGAGGAAGAAAATGGTCAGGCCAGGGATCACAGGCCTTGGGGTCACAGTGCCTTGATGATACTTGAGCACCTGAGGCAGAAGAATCTTTGGAGTTGTGATTTCTTAAGAGGGTATGTTCTCTGGTGATGATGAAGTCCAGTGAGTGTTCTCTGGTGGAGGAGGCGAGTAAGCAGGTGAGTAGAGCCCAGTTGTTGGAGAGAGGTCCAGGGTAGCTCCTCTGTGTGGACACTGAAGTTAGGAGGGCTGGAGAAAGTGGGAACCGTTCTAATGTCTGTTGAATGCCTGGTTTTGTTTTTGCATGATGTATGAGTCTCAGTTGGGCATGGTTTCCATAAGATGGGGGAAGTACTAGCCTAGAACTGTACTACTTAATATACTAGTGCCAGTCATTATGGGCAGCTATTAAATTTAAATTAATTAAAATTAAATAACATTTAAATTTTGGTTCTTCATTTCACTAGCCGCAGTTCAAGCGTTCAATAGCAGTATGTGACTCATGGCTATTGTATTATTGTGCAGATAGAAGAAGTTTCTTTTTTCACAGAAAATTCTCCTGGGCAGTGCTGGTCTGGAAAGAATGAGAAGGGCACTCTTGCTGCACCTCCTTAGCCTGAGCTGTGGATTGAGGATGAAGCATAGGAAGTTAGTTGGGGGTATTCAGAGCTGTGTAGATACAAGGATACCTTGACTGAGATGCAGAAATATGCCAAAGTAACAGAAACCTAAAATAACAGTTTGGTTGGATCTGAAAACCACAAAATAGAATTCATGTATCTAAAATAAGGTTGTTTTATGCAGTTTTAGAATTACTGTACAGATGTGTATATAATGTTTCAAAGCAGGTTGTTTTCTGTATGTGTTGGGTCTGACCTGAAGTATGAGCCCATAATGCCTTAGATCATTTCTCATTGTCCTAGCACACTGGCCACCTCTGACGTCAGCAGACGCAAGTGGCTGATACCAGGAGCAGAGTATTCTATCTTTACTGGCCAGCCTTTGGATACCCAGAATGATAGAATGGATAACGAGCTGGTGGAAACCTGCACTACTGGGTAAGGTAGCTTTGTCAAAGGTCGTATTTAGGATTTCTTAATGGTTTCTTTTACATTTCAGTTGCTTTCAAATGTTCAGGAAGGTCTAAAGAGCCTTCTCTGTTGCCTCAATGTCTTACTTTTGAGGACCAGATTTTTATTTTACTTTGAAAAGCTAATGGGTGTAGGATACTTTCCTATCAAAGACTATGCAGAGCGTCCCCTGCCCTGTGTTCCAACACAGTGGTGTGCTGTGCATGGACTATCAGGATAAGGTGTTTGTTGATCCTCTTACCCTCTGGACAGCCCAAGCAACTATTACTCTAGAGCACCACAAAATTATAGTATTTCTATATGTGCAAGGATGTGAAGAGAATTGAGAAGTACTGGTCTATTACCTGCAGGTTCAATTTTAGTTTATTTCATTGTAAAGAATACATCCTCATTGTGGAGTGTATTTGTTAGCTCTCATGTTATTCCCCTAACAAAGCTGGTGAATTCTGTATTAGCTCAGGCTGCTGTATTAAATCACCATAGACTGGGCAGCTTGAGTAAGAAACATTTCTTCCTGCAGGTCTGCATGCTGAGAGTCCAAGATTGGGGTGCTGGCACAGTTGGGTTCTTGGTGAGAGCCCTCTTCCTGGTTATATGGTCTTCCCTTGGTGAATGCGTGCAGACAGAGTTTTTGGATCTCTTCTTTTTATAAGGGCACTAATCCTATCCCAGGCCCCCCACCCTAATGATCTCATCTATATCTAGTCACCTCCCCAAGGCTGAAACCTGCTAACACCATCCACTGAGGATTGGGGCTTCAACATGCGAGGTTTTCAGGGGGACAGAAATACTCACTTCATAGCACAGTGTGTCTTACAATTATTATTTAAGGTATCATTCTCCTCCGGAAAAGGATTCTTCACCTGGAAGTTCACCAAGAGGCTTACTGAAAAAAAAACAAATAGAGACTTCAGATACACCAATCATGAAAGCTTTAAAAGAACTTGATGAAGGAAAAATATTTAAAAATTGGGGCACACAGACAGAGAAAGAGGACACCTCAAATAGTAAGCATTTTTCCTTTGATATAGAGATAATAGATTATAGATACCTTCCTCTTTGCCCCCAGTTTTATCACCTTCCTTATTAAGTCCTCTAGCTCGTAATTTATCACAGTCATGACATAACATGTATCTTTTATACAAAGCAGACTACATATTACTTCTGATTAGTAAAGATTTATGCAGCATTCTTAAAAATATTTGGAAAATTTCTACATGAGTTTGTCTTGTCTCACATTGGAAAGTTATGACAGACATTTGGTATTCATAAAGTGAGATGTAATGTTTTCTACTGTCCTTTTCTTGGTTACTGAGCATCTCGCAGGACAAGAAATATCTTTTTTTTAAGATTTAATTTTTTTATTTTTTTAATTTATTTATGATAGTCACACAGAGAGAGAGAGAGAGAGAGAGAGGCAGAGACACAGGCAGAGGCAGAAGCAGGCTCCATGCACCGGGAGTCCGACGTGGGATTCGATGCCGGGTCTCCAGGATCGTGCCCTGGACCAAAGGCAGGCGCCAAACGGCTGCACCAACCAGGGATCCCTTTTTTTAAGATTTAAAAACGATTTTTTTAAAGTAATCTCTCCACTCAGCATGGGGCTCCAAGTTAGAACCCCAAGATCAAGAGTCACATGCTCTTCCAACTGAGCCAGCCAGAGGCCCCAAGAAGTAGCTTTATTTTATTTTTTTAAATTTTATTTATTTATTCATGAGAAACAGAGAGAGAGAGAAAGAGGCAGAGACACAGGCAGAGAAGCAGGCTCCATGCAGGGAGCCCAACATGGGACTCGATTCCGGGTCCCGAGGATCACACCCTGGGCTGAAGGCGGCACCAAACCGCTAAGCCACCGGGGCTGCCCAAGAAGTATCTTTAATACTGTCCTTCTCACAAGTGCAAGTCAGTAAGTATTTGCATCTTCTTGCCCTCCTGTGCTCACTTGATGGGGCCTGCTGATTACAATGTTAGCATTTTGGGTATTGCATCTCCAAGGTGGTATCTCTTAGTAAATAAATTAGTGACTTGCTTTCTAAAAATAATCTCTTGTGAAAAATCACCTTGAATGGCAATTGTCAACAGATAACCAGAATGAATTCTTTATAAGCTCCCACATTTTCTTCAAACATTTTTTCATCCTTATGTATTTGCAATAATCATTCTTACCTGGATACTGAGAATTGCTTGCTTGGTGTAATCATCTGTTAATCGAGGCAGGTAATCAAAGCTAGGTTTGTTCTGTTTACTTTTTAACAATTTGTCTGTTATAGAATTAGTGAATCCTCGGCAAACTGAAACATCAATCAGTACAAATCGGTCCCCAGAGAAATGTGCCCAAAGACAGAAGAGATTTAACTCTGCTTCACAGAGATCATCGTCTTTACCACCTTCAACTCGTAAATCGAATACTCCAAGTAAGAGTTAGATGTATATATCTCCCTGGCTGAAAGGAGGGGCATCCAAGCTGTGCGCACACGCCTCATGTTTTCTCTCTAGCACCTACTAGAGACTACTCTGAGCCCCAGGGTCCCTAAATAGGATCTTCTTCAATAGTAGTATATCACTTGATTGCACAGATACTATGACTACAGGTGAAGAAATTATCACGATATATTACAATGAGATTGTGTGTGTGTGTGTGTCCAGCAAAATTTTTTTTTGCAGCTTACACCACTTGATAGTTTTTGAGATTATTGACGACTATCTAAGTAAATATTAGTTCAAACAAATTAGGCTAGCCTGAAAAAGATGTTGCTTTTTATATATTTACCTTCAATTTCTTGAAGGTTTTAAAGGTTAAGCATTAGGTTTCTGTTTTCTTGATTTCCATTTTCAGAACAGCTGAAGATATTTGTATGTACCTGTGTTACAGGAATGTGCACTGGTGTTTCCATCTTATTTCCAGTCAATTTCTAAAATCCTGAAAAACCAGTTTTGAGTCTCAAGTGCTGACACAGCAGTCTGAAACACTAAAATGTTGACGGTGGTTCCCTCTAGGTGTTGGGATTATGAATTATTTTTATTTTGGATGCTTTTGTTTATCTTTCAAAAAGTTTTACAATAAAATTGAATTCCATTAAAGTTACCAAAAAGTACTGAAAAAGGAAGTATGTTCTGCAATATAATGTATTATGTAGGAAAAAAAGAATATTTCCTCTTTGTTTTCTTCTGTAGCAAAAAGAGAGATTATGTTAACACCAGTGACTGTGGCTTATAGTCCAAAGCGATCTCCTAAAGAAAATTTGTCCCCAGGATTTAGTCATCTACTGAGCAAAAATGAAAGCAGTCCAACTCGGTAAGTTCTCTAAAATAGTAGAATAAAATATTTTATTATTGATTTTTTTTTCTTTTAAGTGTCTGCTTATGCCTGTAGCTATCACTGATTTTTCAGTTGCCAGTGGGAACCCTATGGATTTAAATCATTTAAATGAATGTCATACTGAAAATAAAGTACTATAATATATGAAAACAGTTTTTAAACTATGTAAACTGCTACCACTGAATTTAAAAACTGCCTCAGAGTCCCTCCAGCTTTTGGGTATAGAATGATAATTGTTTCTTTTCCTGAAAAGGTTTATGATACAGGGAAATTTTTGAGCCATTTGTACAAGAAAGTGGGCTGTCCTGGTATGGCCCTGTCAGTACACGTAAGTTTCCCTGGGTGCCTGAAAAAATTGTTCTCTCTCTGAAGCAGGTCTGCAGTGCAAGCTGCCATGGGAAGCCTTGGACACCTGCAGTGTGAGAGCTGGTAACCTGGCTCCCTCAGGCTCTTGAGAAATGACTTAAGCACATTGAACCTCAGTTTCCCCTTCTATAAAAAGGGATAGTACTTCCCTCCTATTTTATAAGGTTGTTAAAAAGATTGAAAGAGCTACTGTGTGGGTAAATGTTTCAAGTCTCCAATATGTAAATGTAATTTTGTGTTAGGAAATATAAATTAAATTTCAGTTTTAGAAAATTATATGACCAGCTTTTTTTTTTTTTTTTAATACGTGAATATGTGAATTAACTGGATGCCAGCTCATCTTTCTAGTGGAGATAGGGAAAATCAATTAACATTTTTTTCTCACAAGCAACTTGCTTCGTTCAATAGATTTGATATACTTTTGGATGATTTAGATACTGTTCCTGTGTCTGCGTTACAATGTACCAAACCAAGGAAACAACTCCAGTTTCTTCCTCTAGATGACTTGGAAGGTATCTTTTTCCTAAAAAAAATTATTAGTTATGGGTATAGTCATTCTTTTTGTGAATTTCTGGTATCTTTTCAAGGTCCTAAATATTTTAATATCCTGCACTTAAATAATTTCTGCCCAAGGACCTCTAAAATAAGCATTCGTGATGCTCATATTATGTGTCAATGTTGTTCTCACTGACAAACAGTGTTAATGTTACTACTTACTGGGGCCATACTCTTCAGTTTTTCTCTTATATTCTGTAATTTCTGTGCAACTTAGGCGTTAGGTGATATTTTTTTTCTTTTTTTTTTTTTAAAGATTTATTTATTTATTTGTGAGAGAGAGAGAGAGACCAGAGACACAGGCAGAGGGAGAAGCAGGCTCCAAACAGGGAGCACGACGTTGGACTCGATCCCGGGTCTCCAGGATCACGCCCTGGGCCAAAGGTGGCGCTAAACTGCTGAGCCACCTGGGCTGCCCTCTTTTTTCACATTTATCTTTTTAAGTTTGGAATAAAGTTACAAGAGAATGCATGTGACCCACTTGGGCACATGCTAGCTCTTTTCCATTGGTGTGGGTTTGTGTCCACTAGACAAGTGTTTAGCATTTAACTTTTTTTTCTTCAAGTTTATTTATAGTTCATTTAAATTTACACACCTTCATTTAGGGAAGTTATACATATTGTTAAACTGAGGGCAAAGCTTGTAGAATTCTGTGAAGAAAAAGCACTGAGTAAATATGATTGTTGTGTCTCTTTCCGTTCCATTTTTTTGGTATGTGGCAGCCCTTTCCAGAAAGTGAAGTTAGATAATTTAGATAGTTATGTATATGATCTATTAGGAAAATTGATTTAAAAAAAAAAAAAAGAAATTTCTTTTCTCTCAACAGAAAAAAAACATTCAGAAACAGCCACCGACATCCATGTTAATCATAGCTCTTCTCCCGGACTGTTGCCAAATGGAGTGAAGAAAGTGTCTGTGCGATCAGCCTGGGAGAAGAATAAATCAGTTAGCTATGAACAGTGTAAGCCTGCGCCAGTAGCACCACATGGTAATGATTTTGAGTATACAGCAAAAATTAGGACCCTAGCTGAAACGGAGCGGTTTTTTGATGAACTTACAAAAGAAAAAGACCAGGTAAAAACAAGCAAAAACTTAAACCTTTTTCTGACCTTAATGCTTGTGTCTGAGGAATAGTCAGAAGGGAATTATTGAGGCCAGCCATCTCAGGAAGTTACTGTGGATAGCACACCAGAGCTGAGCTGGCCTTGCTGGTTAGGACGGAGGGAACTTATATGAAGGCGAGCTGGACAAGAGAATACTAGGCTGAAGCCTGTCCTTTCCATTCTGTTGCAGACTTCCCTGCCATGAATCAGAATTCTTCTGTTTTCATTTAATTTTTTTTGTGTTAATAGATTGAGGCGGCTTTGAGTCGAATGCCTTCTACTGGAGGACGGATCACTTTGCAGACGAGATTGAATCAGGTGAAATGCCTTAGCTTGAATCTGGATTAGCGTTGTGATGCTGGCTAGTGCACCATTTTTTCTAAGATGATGTTAATTTAGGCATCCTGAAGCAATTGGGCAAAACGGTTAACCTTTTAGGAAGTGTTTGGTGATTTAAGACTTTATTTAATTATTCATGAGAGACACAGAGGTAGAGACATAGGCAGAGGGAGAAGCAGGCTCCCTGTGGGGGACCTGGTGCAGGACTTGATCCCAGGACCCCGGGATCACGCTCTGAGCCAAAGGCAGACAGCCAACCACTGAGCCACCCAGGTGCCCCTATAATATATTTTAGAATGGCATGCTGGCTTTCGGGGGTAAAAAGTGATTTTTTACCTTTATACCCATGAAAAAGACGTTCATGCCACTATGTGATATGCCTTCAAACAGATTTTACATTAAATTAATCCTCTCACATTAAAATGTTCCTTTTTGTATTCATTTTTTCCTCCCCAATATCTAATTTATTTCTGTCCCTTTCCGTTTAGTAAATATGTGAAACAGTTGTGCTTTGCACCTGGAATCACTGTAGAGGTTAAAAAGAGAAATGTGATTCCATTACTGAGCAGGAGATGGTGCAGGTGAAGCGGGTCATGTGCATTTCTTTTAGTTGCTTTTCAAAGAGAACTAAAATACACGAAACCATGGGACTTACAAAATCACTTTTTGTAACATTTAATTAATTAATTTAAAGATTTTATTTATTTATTCATGAGAGAGAGAAAGAGAGAGAGAGAGATACAAAAGGGAGAAACAGGCTCCATGCAGGGAGCCTGACTTGGGATTTTTCCTGGGTCTCCAGGATCATGCCCTAGGCTGAAGGCAGCACTAAACCGCTCAGCCACCCGGGCTGCCCTTTTTTGTAACATTTTAAGCATAATAGCAAGGATAGGTCTCTTATATCACTGCGTGTTTTGGCCTTTCAGTGCTTTAATTTCAGGAAAAGTTCATTTTCAGGTTGGTCTGTGATACCAGAAGGAAAAAGAATGCAAAGGAAACAGCAGCGGTCTTTTCCTAGGGCCTATATGCCTAACTTCTCCTTAAGACTGTAAGTCTCTTGGGATGCCTGGTGGCTCAGCGGTTGCCTGCCTTCGGCCCAATGCATAATCCTAGAGTCCCAGGATCGAGTCCCACATTGGGCTCCCTGCATGGAGCCTGCTTCTCTCTGCCTATGTCTCTGCCTTTATTTCTGTGTCTCTCATGAATAAATAAATAAAATCTTTAAAAAAAAGTCTACTCAATATAAGACTCGACACATGAAGCTCTTTCTTATTGGGAAGACAGAAGGAAAACTTCTGGATATTCGGATTCTAAATTTATCTGAAACATTTGTTTAATATTTTTTATGTAATGGTTGTAAGCTCTTAAAATAAAAGGCAGTAGATTCTTTTTTATGATTTATTTATTTATTCATGAGAGACGCACACATAGAGGTAGAGATATAGGCAGAGAGAGAGAGAAGCAGGCTCCATGTAGGAAGCCCGAAGTGGGACTTGATCCTGAGACTCTGGGATCATGCCCTAAGCCAAAGGGAGATACTCATCCGCTGAGCCACCGAAGCATCCCAAAAGGCAGTAGATTTTATTCATACATGTCAAAGCTGTTTCTGTTCGGTAAGGAGAAACAGTGACAGAAAAAGGAACTTGAGAATGCTTATTTATGATTCATAAGTGAAAAAGGTAAAATTGGGCGAAAAAGGTAAAATTGGGCAAAAAAGATGAAAAATATTCAGCCTCACCAATGAGTAAAAAAAAAATACAAATTTGAACAAAAGCATCATTTTAAAAGATTTGTTTATTTGAGAGAGAAGGAGAGAGGGCATGCAAATGTGTCAGGAAAGGGGCAGAGGGAGAGAATCTCAAGCAGACTCCCTACTGAGCTCAAAGCTGGACATGAGGCTTGGATCTCATGACCCTGAGACCGTGACCTGACCTCAAATCAAGAGGCAGATGTTCAATGGACTAAGCCACCCAGTTGTCTCCAAAAGCATCATTTAAAACCAAACCAAACAAAAAACATAGGTAGGTATTTAAATGTGTGTGTGCGTGTGCACACACACACACACACGAAAATATACCCAGGATGGAGAAAAGCATATTCTCATATATGGCAGGTAGAAGAGGAAATTGTCACAAACTTTCTGGAGTATAGTTTAACATGAATCCAAAGCTTTAGAATACTTGTTTCTTTGGACCTAGCATTTTTACTTCTGGGAATGATTCCTAAGGCAGTACTTACAGATGTGTGCAAAGAAATCCTTTTTTTTTTTTTTAAGATTTTGTTTATTTAAAAAAAAAAAAGATTTTGTTTATTTATTCATGAGAGGCAGAGACATAGGCAGAGGGAGAAGCAGGCTCCATGCAGGGAGCCCGACGTGCGACTTGATCCCGGGTCTTCAGGATCATGCCCTGGGCTGAAGGTGATGCTAAACCATTGAGCCACCCAGGCTGCCTGCAAAGAAATTTTTTTTTAAAGAATATTTATTGCAGCATTATTTATGGCATCCAATTAGAAGCAACCTAAATTTCTACTAAAAGATCCTTGGTTAAACCTAATGGACTATTACACATTAATTTAAAATGATTATATAGAAAGATATTTCGTAACAAGAAAAGTTCAGTTGAAAAATGTTTTGAAGTAAACAATTTCATTGTTTTTGTTTTTCTTCTTAATGATGTGGATATCTACAGAAAAAAAAAGACAGGAAAGAAGAACTGGTTATTTTTACTCCTCTGTTTTCTAACTATTTATCTTGAACATTTGATCCTTATATTTTTAATTTTTATTTATTTTTTTAAGATTTTATTTATTCATTTGAGAGAGAGAAGGAGCCAGGGGTTGGTTGGAGAGGGAGAAGGAGGCTCCCCACTGAGCAAGGAGCCAGACTCCTGGGCTTGATCCCAGGACTCTGGGATCACGACTTGAGCTGAAGGCAGAAGCTTAACTCACTGAGCCATCCAAGCACCCCTTATATGATTTTTTTATAATTAAAGTTGCTTAAAAGGAATTTTTAAAGTTTTATTTCAGAACACCACTGGAGTTAATACCGAGTAAAGTATCTAAAATGATAAATTTATATTCTAGGCACTATTTATTTAATAATATTACTGTTTATTTAAAAATAGCAGTTGTTACATTGATGTGTTGTGAAATCTGTTTCTTGGAAAAACTCCTCCAGCTTGTTCCCTTCTTTTTAACTTAGAAATTCTTGTCAGAAGAAAGTTTGTTTGGCATATGCCTAAGTGGGATAGGCCCCAGTCCATGTGTCCATTTCTTCTGCTGAAGTGTGAAGTACCATCTTGACTGGTTCAGCCTGAGTCAGAGACTTCTTAGCTTCTTGCAGTTATTTGTATCAAGCTTGCTGGAATTTCTAGACTCCAAGTAGCATGTGTGCTGAGGCTCTGTTGAGTACAGGGTTGTTTTGAATGGTTGAAAAGTTGATTCGCGTTGTTAATTTAAAGAAATAATATAAACAAGATGTGTGTAAAAAAAGTAACTGTGATTTGAATGTTTATACTTGCTCCTTTGCTGAAAGAAAGGTCAATTTGGTGTTAATTATAGAACCAGCGAATTTGATGTAGAATTCTAACGAAACTTTTCCTGTTATTTTCCTTCAGGAAGCTCTGGAAGATCGTTTGGAAAGGATTAATCGAGAACTGGGCTCAGTTCGAATGACATTAAAGAAATTTCATGTTTTGCGCACCTCTGCAAATCTCTGAGATTTGTACCCATTAAATTTTGAGATGTTTTTGTTTGCACTAACGTATAATTATGCACTCAGAAATGGCAAACTATTTTGTACTGTTTATAAGCCTTCAAATAGTAGTTTTACAATCATGCTATTCTTTACACTTGCTATTTTATACTTCAAATGGCCACATATTTTCAAGATATTTTTGTTATGCTCAGGAATCTCTTGTATATTTTACTATTTAAAAAGTATTATTTTTAAATAGTATCAGTCTCCAGTTTATATCAATAGTAAGAAAATGTAAACAGGGGAGGCAGCTTGTTTCTAAACAAATAGTGTTATCCTTTTACAATTAACTTTGCACACTAATTTTATATACTTGTCCTACATTGTGAATATGATTCTTTTCTTAAAATAAATGCTTAAGAACAGCTTCCGTAATGATAGACTAATACATGCTGAATGTAAAAAAAAAAAAAAAGCATCATACCCTGGAAATTTAGCTGTGTTGAAATTCTTTTCTTAATGGCAATGCAGTTTCTCTTAGGAATATGTCTTAGAGTGAATATTAGAATAGTAATAGTGGAAATATTGGAAAGCTTTGAAAATTATGAATAACTCATTTTGTTTCCCTTGAACTTTACTGTTGATAAAGAAAGAAAAATGAGAGTTGTAATTCTTTAATGTCATATATGTAGTACTTTTTAGAAAGCAGCAAGCAGTTGGGGAGCTGTAGCTTTCTGTTCAGCATTCTGGGTGGAACTGTGTCCCTCCTGTGGCAATAAGTTGATGGATGAAGCTTTGATGAAAGGCCACCACCCAGTGAGGTTATAAGAGCAGCCCTGGTTTCCTCTGTGTCAGGCTTTAGCTCTCAGAGTCACCATGCAGATGTTTTTAATCCCGCTCCACACTTTCACCCCTGCCAAAAAATCCCACAAAAAACAAAACCCCAACTGCTGCCATAGTAGGTGCTATAAGGCTGCTAGGTTCAGATCAGAGCACCCTACCCTGCTTGTTCATGGACAGGGAATGTGTGTGGGTGGAGCTTTGACCTTGCTGGAAGGCTCCAGCTCATTGCCTTGGTAGTACCTCTTCACTCTTGGATGTGGCATGTAGGCAGGAGGCTGTGCTCTGGTCAGCATCACTAGCAAGTAGTCAAGTCTGGGCTGCTCCACTGCCCACTTTTTTGGTGGCTGGTCAGAATCCAGAGCCCACATATTCATGTATGTATTGATCAATAGACTCATCCTTAAATTTTCAAAATTGATTCCCACTGATAATACTCAGGTTTTAAAGCTTGGTTTTCTTTTGAGCTTTTTCTTCTTATGTGACTCTTAAATAGCTTGTAGTTCTAATGAACCAAGCCAACCATTACTCCACTAGGGTCTATGTATGCCTTTGAGCAGGGATCTCAAACTGTCTTTGAGTACCCTTCACCAAAGCTTTCTTGGCTGGGCCCCAGGGCTGATGCCCAGTTGTGCTCCCTTCTCAGCTTTGGGGAGGGGGGTTCTCCGTAGGGAGGGGCCACTGACACCTGCCTCTCCTGTTCCTATCCATGAATTGAATCTTTGCTCCAAATTCTGCCACTAGTTGAAGACCTTGGCTAATCACAGTTAATCATCAACAGAATAAGTGCCTTTATTCATGTTATTTTTTTTCTAGCCTTTTTTTTTTAAGTTAACTACTTGTAGTAAAAAGTTAATTTTAATCAAGCTCCAGTACAGCTGTGTCAAGACCTAGTAAAGGGATTGACTTTACTGATGGTATTTCCTTTATGTTCCTACACAAAACTTGAAACTTACTAGGATATTCATTGTCCCGTCCTTTGATCATGAAGTCCATTACCTCAGAAGAATAGGGAATTGTGGTTTCAAAAGAGTGAGTTTTGTCTTAGTAGTCGCTATTGGCTTATCCCAAGAAAGATCTGAAACCCCATCAAAACCTCTTCTGTGCCTCTCAGAAAACATATGCTTTGATTCTTGAAATGTATAATAGATGGGAAGTATCAGTCACTTACTTAAAAATTAAACCTTTTTCTTCATAACTGTGAAGAGGAGAACCAAGGAAATCTTTTCAGCCATCCTTCCCTTTTTTTGTGTGCTTAATTTACGAACACAGAATGCTCAACTTAAAAACAACTCTGCCTCAAAGGTGGCAATCTTAGAAAGCAGCTGGTGTCCCTGGGAGGTCAACTACTTTGCTCCCAGGTGGGGCTGAGCTGCAGAGGAAAAACAACGGGAGTGCATCTTCCACTTCTAGGAAGTACCTTTTTAATGCAAATAGAATTAACTCTCCGTCTTCACCTGGTTCTGCCCCCTTCCTCCCCTTCCGGTGCCTCAAGGCACCAGACGTGTTCCCACTGACGCAGTGGAGGTGGCTCAGTGCAGGGGTGCTGGGCCGGGGAGGAAGAGCCCGGGGAACCTGGGTCACCACCAGGCTTAGGCCTGTCTGCCTCTGCAGCTTGAGATAAGATGATGCAATAAGAAGCTTCCTTCCATTTTAAAAGAGATTATGTAAACTACCTGGTGCTTAGGAACTTTTCAACAAAAGTACACAAGTCAGATTCATTCTGAGTTACAGAGGCTTTTGAAGTAGTGATTTAGTACTTGTGTGTGTGTGTGTGTGTGTGTGTGTGAGAGAGATTTAGTACTTTTTAAATAGAAAAGTAGGTTGTGCCCCTAGCAGTTGACTTAAAATTTACCTTGGGTTGGTTGACATTTAGGTGGTCTAAGATGTTCTCTCCACCTTTTTTGCAGAAAAAAAGATTTCTTGGAGTTCAAATGGTTTTTCTGGCGTGAGATGGCTTTTTTGTTTCTTCAGGTGACTTAAAACTGGTAATCTGTTGGGTATTACGTTCAGAGGCATTATAAATAGGTGATTTGGGGGTAATTTAATGTAAATCTAAGTTGTTTTCCTTAAAAAATGAAAAATGTTGACAATGTAACCAAAATAATTGCGCCTTTTAACATTCCCGAATTAGACCTCTGTAGTTGATGGCCTGTAAAGCAGGACTGTGGGAAGGTCACGCCTGCACTGGGCATCAGAAGAGCCATATGAAGATACTGATGGCTTTCAGAGTTTGACAAACAGCCAAAATGTGTTCTCCTTTTTAACTCTGAAAAACCAGGTGCTTTGCTGAATGCTATTTAAGTTTGAATTCTGCACTTATGTAATAATTAGACATTTTGTCATTTTACTTATCTCGAAAGCAGTTTTCACTAAATTTTAATGTGCCACTTGGTCTGTGAGTCTTTAAGAAGCTTTAAAACATAAGTGCATACTTAGCGCCCTTTAAGAGTCGTACAGGTAAATCATGTTTACCCATCATGAGTGAGTGTGTGTGGTCATGATATGTACAGATCTGATTCAACCAATTATGTTGCACAAATTTTGCAGGAAATAACTTTTTTGCCAAGAGTTCTGTGGCAGTTTGATAATATATTAAACTACATCAGTATTCTTAGGACCTGTGTTACAAAGCTTTCTCCTTCTGATTTATGTTTTATTTCAATAGCTGCCTCTCAAATAGGAGGAATCAAGCCATAAATTTGCATTTGCTAGACGTGATAGACCATGTCATCCCTGTGACTACAGACTTCAAAGATAATTGTTTTATTCACAGTTGCACTGTAACAGTGACCAATATAATGTGAAAACTTGCTTCCTCCAGTGCTGCTGACGGTTAGGCAAAGACAAGTGCTTGTTGCAGTTGTTTTTAAATCTAGGCAAGTATTGGAGTAATGGAATTGTAAGCTCTGTGAGAGCAGGGACGGACCATCATGTCTTCATTCTTGCATATAGGCACTCAATAAATATTTGTGGATACGAACTGTCTTGAGATCTTAGTGTATTTCTTCTTACCAGGTAACTCCAAGTTTTGAGTGCAGTCATGGCAGGGTTAAAATGGTATCATCCAGGTGCTCAGTTCTGGAGGGTGGACAAAGAACCTCACTCTGTGGAGTTCTCTGTATGCCCCCAAAACCTCTCTTAGTGGACTTTAAGGCACTCGGTGGAAGGAGGAAGGTGGGGGTTTCGGTTTCGTATTTGTTGGGGCACCTTCACTTCTCTCACCAATCGTCATAAGAGGTATTTTGAGGGCAGCCCTGGTGGCGCAGTGGTTTGGCGCCGCCTGCAGCCCAGGGTGTGATCCTGGAGACCCTTGATCGAGTCCCACGTCGGGCTCCCTGCATGGAGCCTGCTTCTCCCTCTGCCTGTGTCTCTGCCTCTCTCTCTGTGTGACTATCATGAATAAATAAATAAAATCTTTAAAAAAAAAAAAAGAGGTATTTTGAGAGTTGTTGGCTTTCCTGGCGGCCTCTTCTAGTTCTGACTGTAGCCACAGGGGTGAGCAGCCTCTGGTGGTTTTGCTGTATCTCCGACTGCATCTGGACAGTCTTGGACTGCTTTAATTTTAGCACTTGCCCTTCCAGGGGAAAAAGCACTCTTCACCCATTGAAGGTGATACGTAAGCTAGGTTTTAGGTGTGCCCTGTTTAATTCCATTACTTCAGATCTTGGCAAATAAGGGCATTTTTGCTCAATCTAAGTACTACATGCTTCACGATTTGCTTTAAATGTCACCCAGTACCCCCTCGGTGGTCTTGTTTGCCACTGGAGAGTTCCAATCAGGAGGGAATACCAAGGTAAAGCTATTTCTGACCCTTTTCCAGTTGGACTCTGAGGTCGGGAACTGGAGCTTCACGCACACCCCTTCCCAGTACTGATGACCCAGGGGCGTTATATCGTCTGAGCCCAGGGCGAATGCGCTCGGTGCCGCGGACGGAACCTGCTGCCTGCCCGCCTGCCCGCCTGCCGGCCGCCACCCGCCCTCTGATGCCAGCCTCCAGCGTCCAGGGTGAGCCTCAGGGGGCTGCCGGTGACGTGGCAAGTGCCTCGTGAAGTCGTGCGGCGCGTTCCAGAGCTGTCCTCTTGCTCCTTAACTTGGCTTCTAGAAAGCTCCTTGGGAGTCACGGTTGCGGCGAGGCCGATCGGCCCCTTCCGCCGGTGCACGCGGCTCCGCGGCCCCTGGCGAGGCCGACGGTGATGGGGAGGCGCCCCCCTCCGGCGGGGCAGCGCGCTCAGGCCGCGGCGGGGACCCAGCGAGCCGGCCCCAAGTTTGCCGGGTTCTTCCGGCGGAGCCCGGCCCTCGGGGCGGGCGGGGGCGGCCCCTCTCGCCGGGACTCGCCGCCGCTCCCCGCGCGGCCTGACGGAGGCGCAGGCCCGCCGCCGACTGGGGGAATGCGAGGCGGGCGAGGCGGGCGAGGCGGGCGAGGCGGGCGAGGCGGGCAGCAGCGGCCGCTGGGGCGCGCGGGGCACGGCGGCGCCGCGGCGTAGAGCTGTCCAGCGGGTCCGCGGGCGCGCCCGGCCCCGCGCCCCCCCCCCGCCCGGGGCTCCCCGCGCCCCCCCTCCGCCCGGCCCCCGCCCGCGCCCCC